CTAGAAGGTGCTGTAGAAGGAGCATCTGGAGCTGGACTTGAAGTTGTTGCAGGAGGAGTATCTGGAGCTACAGGAGAAGTTGCAGTAGAAGGAGTGTCTGGAGCTGGAGTAGAAGCATCTGTTGGTACCAAAGGCCTACGAACGTGAAACGCATTAAACCCACTGCTCCTTATAGAAGAGAATGAAGTCGACATACGGTTCAGTAGGGTCATCCCAGCCCTTCCCAGTGCATCCTGCACTGGCAGCATAATCGCAAACATCACTAGACGGATTGAAGTTCAAAGTAGCTGGACAAGAGAACTCGTAGGCAATTCCATTGGCGCAACTCCAGTACTTCGTGCAATCATCGTCGGCAAAGAAGGCACCGTTAGTGGAACATGGAGCTGTAAACAAACATGTTTTCTTCTGATTACTTCAAGTACTGCTGTCGCGATTACACGCACAAATTCGTCAAAAATGATCAAATAATATGCGTTTCAGGGACGTGTTGATAAGTACTTGTTTTCGAGTAGGTTGCCGCGACTTTTCAGCGTTTTTGAACAGGAAAAGCAGAATTTTGACTGTTAGAGTGTCAGTTGATGAGCAATACTCACGGGCTGGCGATGATAGCACGCTAATAGCGCACGTTGTAATTAGTAGCACAAATGACCACTGCATTGTATCGGTCGCGTTTTTTCCGTATAACAATGTGGTTGTTCACTGGGGCCCGGTTATTTATACCACACTTTCAACCCCACTTGATAAAAGACACTTCAGATATATTGGAAAAAAATTGATACGGAATTTTTCTAGAACAATGGCCGGTCCATGGCGCGCTACTTTTCTGGGATAACCAACCTGATCGATAACATTTTTGGGGTTTTACTTGCTTCTTTTGGGGTTTCAACATTTTTCCTTGTAATTTATATGCACTTTATTGAAAACTATGCACTGCGTTAAGTTGCAGCTGCAGCCTGGATTTATCTCATTGAATTTAGGGAGTTTAACAGGGTGAAATTGAAGCTCATCTGGTAAAATCCCACTAAACCAAAACATTTGCTGGTTTTTCATTGTAAAACGTTTGACTTGCAGTGCTTTATCTCATCGGATTTGTTTTAAGCTGGCTGTTATTATTGCACGTATTGGGAAACATTCAAAGGTCGTTTTTTGGGTTTTTCACACTGAACAGTAGCATATTAATTAAAATTTGTCGAACATTGTCGAAAAACCGACCAGTTTCCAACAATGTCTTCAATGAAAAGTTCACTTGATTACAAGTGTTTTACAGATGGTTTTTATGACCGCTTTCAGGGGCAGCTTTGAGAAGGCAGGAAAACCGAACGCTCATGTTTCATAAGCGAAATTTAAAAATTTGCCAAAAATGAAGGAAGCGTTTGTTTGCATCGAAACTTTCGGGATTTATAAGCTGATGTGTCTTTTATCATACCTGAAAATTTTAAGTGGCTGCTTGCTCCCGCTTGCATCCGAGGCACTTAAGAAGGCAACGTGCCGAATGGAAAACCGCCAAGTTTCTAGGGCGGTTTTTGAATCGTTGCCCAAAATTCACCTGCGATTGGTTTACAGCCAAACTCTCACACTTTATCGGCTTAAGTTTTCTCTATCAATTGTGAAAATTTCAACCTTTTTTATTTTCCTGTTTAAGCAGGCTTGAATGTGAGGCATTTAAAAAGGCAGACATGTCGAATGGAAAACAGTCTAATTTCTAGGCATATTTTGGAAAATTGTCAGAAATCGAGCTGGGGTGCATTTCGAACAAAACTCTTCAGATTCATAGATTTAACCTTCTTGTATAACGGGTGAGAATTTCAAGTCGCTACTGGTTCACGTTTAAAAGTAAGCCGTTTGGGAGTAGAGGCCTGCTAAATGAAACACACTCTAGTTTTTAGGCATATTTTGAAAAATTGTAAAAAATCGAGCTGGCACAGCCTGAGAATGGAACTTATACCATTTATAGATTAGAGTTTCTTCTATAAATTGTGTAAACTTCAAGTAGCTACCTGGTCACAGTTAAAAGTAGTCGATTTTAGAATGCAGACGCGCCAAATTAAAAACAGTCTAGTTTTGGCGCAGATTTTCAAACAATGACAAAAATCGAGCTGCAGCTTGTTTAGAATGAAACTTTCCGGGTTGATAGATTCAGGTTTCCTCTATAAGACACGAGAATTCCAAGTCGCTACTTGATCGTCTTTAAAAGCGAGCCATTTGAGAATGCAGACGCGGCGGATGCAAAACAGCCCAGTTTCTACGGTAGATTTTGAAAAATTATCAAAAACGCAGTTGGCTCGGGTTTAGAACGAAACTTTTCAAACTCATAGGCTTAACCTATATATATAACGGGTGAGAATTTCAAGTTGCTACTGGCTCACATTTAAAAGTAAGCCGTTTGGGAATAGAGGCGCCCTAAATGAAAAACACTCTAGTTTTTAGGCAGATTTTGAAAAATTGTAGAAAATCGAGCTGGCACAGCTTGAGAATGAAACTTACAGGATTTCTAGATCACAGTTTCTTCTACAACATGTATAAACTTCAACTAGCTACCTGGTCACA